CCACGTAGCGCGCCTTGAAGACCGGAGGAGATCCCGGTGGCCGCTTCACCCTGTAGATCCACATGCCGTCGACTACGTTCGCCCCCGGAGGGGGAACCTCATCGACGTAGGTGCCTGTGGATCTGTAGGAGGCCATCTCTACGTCCATGGCAGCTCTCCACTGAGAGGCCCAAGGCCCTGACACTGCCTCAGCGTAAGTGCGAGGAGTCGGAATGTCAAGGGCGTCGGGGTCACCCTCAGGGGCGAGGAGCATGGCACAGAGATGAGGGGAAGCGGCGGCCAGGAACTCTAGCTCAAACTGCCTGTCCTCTAGGGCGTCACAGCCAAGGGCAGACACACCCCCGACGGCCAGAGGACTGGAAGGAGGAGCAGCCACAAGAGCGGTGGCGAAGTCAAGGCGGCGGGTAGAGGCAAACTCAGTGACTGCGGCAGTAAGAGCGGACACAGAGGACACAGAGGCACGAGGGTGGGTAACAAGAGAGGCGAGAACACGAGAGAGAACAGGACGGTACGTGCGGTAGTAGTCAGTGACAGGAGTAGGAAGCGACGCAGTGAGGGCCGACTCAGGAGGAGACGGAAGCACAGACGGAGACGGACGAGGTGGACGAGAACAAAGGAAGGCTGTACGAAGGTCAGTGAAGGGAACAGGAGACGAGGGACGAGCACGAGGGGAGCGACGAGAGGCCCAAGTCTGAGAAGGAGGAGGAGACAACGAAGACTGAGAACGAGGGAAAACAGCGGGAGAGGGGTCAGGAGGAGGAAGCGGAGGACCAGAGACGGGAGGAGAGGGGGAGGAGGAAGGAGAGGGAGAGGGGAGACCAAGGGTCCGAAGACCCGAGACAGGAGGAGGAGACGGCAGCTGCTGCTGCTGCTGCTGCTGCTGCTGCTGCGGCTGCTGCTGCTCCAGCGGCTGCTGCTCCTGCTGCTGTCGCTCCTGCTCCTCGAGCCGCTGCAACTCTCTCTCCTCTCTCTCCAACTCCAGCTGCTCCTCACGAGCACGGCGAACACGAGCCTGGAACCTGGTCGGGTAGGGGTGGGGGGAAGGAGTAGTGTCCGGGGCAGCGGCAGCCCCAGAGTCGACCTCCGAAGCACCAAGCACACCACCCCCAGAGGCAGCACCAACACCAGCTCCAGACCCAGGCTCTCCAGAAACCGAAGGGACACCCTCACCCCCAGACGCAGCACCCCCAGACTCCGCACCAGCACCCCCAGACTCCGCACGACCAGTACCAGCCCCCGGAAGACAAGAGTCCTCTGCAACCCGCGGCTCAGCTCCAACTCCAGCACCCCCAGAACCAGAGACCTGTACAGGGACAGTCGCAGGACCAACCTCCCGAGAGGGAGCACCTGCAGGAGGCGGCGAGGAAGACTGTGGGGAGGGAGGCTGTACAGGGGGGGCTACCGAAGGGGGAGGGCTAGCCTGAGACACACCAGACGGGGCTGGACCAGGGGGGGGCGGCTGTGGCTGCGGCTGCTGCTGCTGCTGCTGCAGTCGCTGCTGAGCGCGCGGGCCAGTGTGAAGAGTGTAGAGACCGGAGCCCGGCTCAGCAGCAAAAGTGGCGAGAGGCTGGTAAGAGTCCCCGTCAACACACACCGCAGTCTCTCCAGAAGGCTCAAACCACACACCCACGTGCTGACTCACGAGGGGTCGCACGCCCACCAAGTTCCGGGAGAACGAGGGGACGTGAAACCCAGTGAGAGACCCAGAAGGAGCAGCCGGACACGGCAAGGTGGTAGTGTGACGCGCGGTGACTGGTCCCGAAGTGGGATCAGCCAGCGCCACAGAAACAGGCGCAGGAAGAGGCGTAAGTGTCGTGCTGTCACGAAAGAAGCAGTGAGAGGCTCCAGAGTCCAGCGTGAACGACAGCGAACCGTCCTCTGAGGTAGCCGCTGGACTAGAGTCTACACAAGAACCTACACTAGCAACAGGCAACTGAGCAAGGCTAGCACCTAAGCTAACAACACCAGAGTAAACAGAGTCAGAAACACTAGAGTCAACAACAGCATACATAGCATGGGGAGTACCAATCAGATCAACTAACTGCTCAGCAGACATGCCCCACAGAGCGGAGCCGTAGCGCTGAACAAGAGGCAGCCAGTCAGGGGCAGGAGCACCAACCCCGTAGACCAAACGAACCGTGTCAGTGAGCTGAGCAAAGCACTGACCAGGGGGGTGAAACCGGCCACAAGGGTGGCCACGACGAGTGCCTGTCAGAACCTGGTAGGTGCAGGGAGTGTAAGCAGCACCGCGCTGGGTCTGACGCAGCCCCGACCCTGGAGCCAGCTGCTGCCGCTGCTGCTGCTGAGGCTGCTGGGAGGAGAGGGGCTGCTGGTGCTGCAGAAGCTGCTGCTGACGCTGAGCCTGGTACCACGCCGCTGCTCCACCAACCGGGGCAGGAAGTACAGGAGGCGACTGACGAACTCGGGCGTCGCCACCACCAGCAGGCGCAGTGGAGTCACCAGTCACTGCACGAGGCGCCTCTCCAGGCCCTGAACCTCCACCGCCGCCAGGCGCAACGCCATCTCCACTACCTCCGCCTCCACCTCCACTACCACCACCAGAACCGCCTTTCTTGCCACTCCTACCGCGGGACCGCGACGCAGTCGTAACAGCAGCTGCAGTCGCGTCAGTAGCGGCAGTGGCAAGTGAGGCAGTAAAGGTGGGTAACTGCGGGACTGTGCACCCGTGGAAGAGTGGGGGGGGCACAGCACCAGAGGCAGCGGCTACCGAGCGAAGGTTGCTCTCGACGTCCTTGAGTGCAGACTCAAGGACCTCGACGGTGAGCTCACTAGGGTGCTTCAGCAGAAGCGCGTCGCGAACGGAGGCAAGGCGGTCAGGGAGGCTAGTGGCGATGAAATAGATAGTGATCGCCATAGGGGGAGGAAGCAGTGCAAGCTGTGCCTCAGTGCAAGCAGCGCGGTAACTAGCGTCGAGCGAGCGGAGGTGAGCGATCAAGTCAGCAGAGCGCTCAAAAGACGCTAGGTCAGGAAACAGGAATGGGAGGAACAGGCGGCCAAGAGAGACAGCAGCGGGAGTAGAGTAGCGGGCCTTAATCGCAGTGAGGTACTCAGCAGCGGTGCGAACCTGAGTGAAGTGAACCTCCTCAGACTCAGGGAGGAGGCTGCTGAGCGCGATGCAGGCCGCAGCGTCACGTGACTTCCAAGCCGTCTGGTCAGCTCGCTGAGTGGCAAAGCGGGCTCTAGCGGCGTCATCAGGGGCAGGTCCTAAAGGCGTAGGGTCGGAGGGCGCAGGTAGGGCACCAGTAGCGTGCGCCCAGAGGGACTCGCCTGCCTGGACCTGACTCTCTAACAGACGGCGAGCACGAAGAAGCCAGACGGAAAAATCAAGAGGTCTACCGTCAGCGTCGAAACGAAGGACGCGAGGGGTCGCCATAGTGTGCAAACGGAATTGGCAGGGAAAGCAGGGTGCAGCGGCAAGGGGGAACGGGCAGGAAGAGCGGGCAAGAGCGGGCGGGTAGGTAAGGTGTGGTGGGCGTCTAGGGTAGGAGCGCGCGGGCTAGGGCAGGAGCGCGCGGGCGGGTAGGGCAAAGGCGCCGGGCCAGGGCGACGGGCTGGGGCGCGGGCCTGGGCGACGGGCTAGGACGCGAGCAGGGGGAACCGCGGGTCGACAGGCAGCGGGGGGAAGCGCGGGTCGACGGGCAGCGGGGGGAAGCGCGGGTCGACGGGCAGCGGGGGGAAGCGCGGGTCGACGGGCAGCGGGGGGAAGCGCGGGTCGACGGGCTGCGGGGGAAGCGCGGGTCGACGGGCAGCGGGGGGAAGCGCGGGTCGACGGGCAGCGGGGGGAAGCGCGGGTCGACGGGCAGCGGGGGGAAGCGCGGGTCGACGGGCAGCGGGGGGAAGCGCGGGTCGACGGGCAGCGGGGGGAAGCGCGGGTCGACGGGCAGCGGGGGGAAGCGCGGGTCGACGGGCAGCGGGGGGAAGCGCGGGTCGACGGGCAACGGGGGGAAGAGCGGGTCGACAGGCAGCGGGGGGAAGCGCGGTTCGACGGCAGCGGGGGGGGGAAAGCGCAGCGCGACCTGCAGCGGTACGCTAGATCGGGCTACGCTAGATCGGGAGGAAGAACGAGCGGTAACGAACGAACGGGACTAGATCGGGCCGGCACTAGGCTCGGGCAAGACGGGCGAAACGAGAGCTAGGATCAGGCTCGGGTGGTACGATCGGAGAACGGAGAAACGGGATCCCACAGGATCCTAACCTAACTGATACCATGTCAAAATGAGGAATGGATGGTGCATTGATGTTGGTTGGGGTACATATAGCTAACCCTAAGTTTTGTACCCCCTAAGACAAACCTCACTATAGGCTACAACATTTGACACCCATGCTTAGGCTAGTCTGCTAGGATACCACATGAAACTTAGCTCTAGTTAATCCTTAGGGCTATTCTCACCACTGGTAGGTAGATGAGGCATGACCAGCGGGAGTATGTGAAGAACCAAGCTTGTCTGGCGAGACGAAAAAGAGAAAAGAGAGAACAAACCCTAAGGATGTGCCAATTTCGTCGCAAAGTTTAAAGTCTAGAGAATTACGCGATACATTAACTCTGCAGTTCTGGCGCAGTCGGTTCGAAGTCGACCGGTAATAAGAAGGTTACCAGGTCGTTTCCTACTTGGCACATTTTTAGAAAATGAAGTAGAATTGTTCCATTTAATTTCATGCTATTTAATGCAAGTTATAAAATTCTAAGGGTGTATGAAAATCGCTTCGCAACCCTAGGACGACTTTGTCGCCTCTTGTTTTTTTTTTTTTGTTCATTATTATAGAAGAATACAAAGCTTACCTTACATATCAGATTCTATTCACTACACAATACAAATATGGAGCAAAACAAACGCACACATTTGAGGGGAACAAGCAAAACACAACAAATAAATGAATAGTTTTGAGAAGTTTGCACCAGGCATTTCATGCCACTTATGATCTGGTTCCCAATCTGGAACAACTTGAAGGATTCATACACCAATACAGAAGCGTCAGCACTACAACGGCTTCGGCTTGCAGAGCACCTTCCCGACATAGAGTGAAGAGGAGGTGCATGTCCAGCCGGGATTGTAGAGGTACATAAGGTAGTAGGAGCCCCGGAAGACTTTGTACACCACACCTGAACAGGTATCCCCTTTTACGACAGTGTATGTGCCGTAGTAACAGGTTGTTGCTCCCACCAAAACAGAATCCACACAGACCTGGAAAGACATCAGAGAAAAGGAGGTAAGCACATCAGCAAACGCACAAATGCAGCAGACAGCTGTTGAACTGTTGGAGGTAAGAAATGCTACGCCGACATACATCTTGGCCCACGAGCCGCTGTGACGTGTCAGAAGTGCAGATAAGCCCCGGATTGTACTGGTACAGTTGTGTAGCGCTGATTGGAGGATAGGTATTAATCAGGACGTCACTGCAGGTCTCCCCTGGGCTGACTGTGTAGTAGTTGGTGCAGCTCTGAGCCTGCGGTGTGCCTGTCTGCACACAGATCTGCTGACCCGGTGTGAGAGCGTTGCACTCCAAGTCAGGGTTGGCAACATTAAGGTAGGCCTGAGTGACGTTGAAGAGCGTGGCAATAGATGCGCACGTGTCACCCTGCAGGGGAAACAAAAGTCAATCATGAGAAGTGCGAAGGAGCAGAGGGCACAATGGCTGCGACAAGGAAGCTGGGTTGAAAGGTACCTGAGCGATCGTGTAGGGGACCACGCAGCCCAGTGTAGAAGAAGCAGTGCCAGCATTGCGTATGACAATGGACGTGCCAGCAGGGAACGTACCACTGCATTTGATCTTCTGCACATGGTGAAACCAAGCAGCAAGAACCAAATGAAGAACATCAGGGGAAAGCAGCGGTGAGCAAAGCAGCAGAAGCAGAGAACTGAAAAAGGAGAAGAAAAAAAGAGAAAGAACACAGCCCAGAGAAAGAAATCGTGCTTACCGGGTTGAGGGCCACAAACTCCTTCTTGGAAAGCTGGTAGGTAGTGCGCACTAAGCCACAGGACATGGGAACAGGCAGCACGACTCTGGTCACAAGGGAGCCCGGCACACAGGTGGGGGTGCCGTCGGTGAGAGAGCCGAGGGTGTAACCCAAGGAGCAGAGGCAGGAGTATCCGCCCTTGCCATCATCGACACATGTGCCGAAGCCGCATGGGTTGACCGCAAAGAACGTGCACACCTTGGCTGTTGAAGAGAGAAACGAACATTGAAACAGGAGATGGGAGGACAGAACATGAGATGAGCACAAAATATTTCAAAAACAAATGCCATACGAACCCACAAAAAAACACATCTATACCTGAGTAAAAACACTACTGTTCAGTTGAACAACAACAGCACAATCTGCAATGAAAATGATCGGATCGGTAAAGCCACTGACCAAGGGCGCAGGTCTGCGTCTTGTCGAGGTTGGTAACGGCAATGAATCCAGCAGGGCACGTGCACTTGTTGCGCTGGCCCTTGTTGGTCGGAGTGGAGGTGCAGGTTCCCCCGCCGCATGGGTTGATGGGCTTGCATGGGTCAGGGGCTGCAGTGGGAAAGCAAGTCATGAAAATGGGGAAATGTGGTGCCGTAAATCAGTGAATAGTTCAGAACCTGAGTTCAGTGAATCGCAGACAGAAGATGGCTGTTCAATATAAGCATAGAGGATGCACGTATGGGGGAAGAGGACAGAAACAAGGAGCGGGGATTCAACGCACTTGTAATAACGGGGTAGAGGCCGGGCATCGTGTTCATCCCGCACACTCCCTTGCCACCTGCAATCGCAATCCTCATGTAGCCATTCTCGCCCCACGAGGGGCCCCATGAGTTGCGAATGATCCAGTAGGGCACCGCATCCATCATGTTGAACCCCACGATCACCACCAGGTGGTCCACGATCCCCACACTGAAACAGTTGGGGTCATTGTACACAAACCCGCCGGTGTACCCCTTAAAAGAGTCCGAGCGCGCATCGATGTAAACCACAACGGGTTGCCTTTGAACGGCGAGGGCGATTCCAAGCCACCCAGACACGCCGATACTTTCAAACATGGAGATGGAGTAGGGGGCAGATGGCATCGAGACAGGAACAGGGGACGCTCCAGCAGGTTTGTAGATAGCGAGCATGCGGGAGTGGTGTGCGGGGACAGTATTGGCGATGGTGGTGATGGTGTCATCTTCGGTGGAAAGGAGGCGACGAACGCGGAAGCGAGCAGAGATCTGCAAACGGCCCGGGAACGGAATTGAGGAACGAGGGAAAACAATGTTTTCCATGACGAAAATAAGGTAACGCGAGTGGCCGCACAAGATGTGAAGATGACCAGAGCACAGGCACACACTGGCACGGAAAGCTGGACGCACTGAGGAGGGCGTATTCACCTGGTCATTCACCTTGCACGTGGCGGAGTTGAGAATGCCCGTGTAAGGATAGCTATCAGAGGAAGGCAGTCCACCGCTGGCAGCAATGTAGTTGAAGGCGTCGTCCGGCTTGCCTCCATCACACGACCACGTGCCCTGGCAGTCAATCGCCTTCTGCTCGGATATGTTGGGCGGGGCGAGGTTGTAGGCAATGGCGTAGGCTGCTTCCACCGCAGCTACTGGGGCGAAGATCCAACACGCGGCTGAAAAGAGGAAGGCGAAGCAGCGGGTGAGGGGATCGGATGGAGAAAAATCAGGGCTTGTCAAAATGGAAAGACGGGTGGGGTGGGGAATATGCTATAAAGCAGCAATGTCACTCTAATAGGTGAGCGAGCTACGGTCTGACTTACAGCAAGCGCCTTGGTTCTTGGCAGCAAGAAGGGCAGATGGAATGCGGGACGTCCAGTCAACGGATGGCGGAATGGTCCACTGAGGGCTCGCCACAGTTCCCGAGAATCCAACAGTCATGTGGCGGAAATACTGGTTGTAATACGACCCGCTGATATCCGCTGCGCCGTCCAATTTCGCACCGCGGGAGTCCCGCTTCTGCATGGTGTCATCGTCCGGTGGCGACGGGGGAGGGGTGACGGAGCTCTGGAACGGCGAACACGAAGGGTATGTAACAGTAACACCACCCACGCGAACTGACAGGGTAACATTGTACATCCCGTCGTAACAGATGCAAGCGGGGGTGCGGGACGGCGTGGTGAGTGTGCAATAACCAAGACCACCGCAAGCACCAGCGGGAAGAGCGGCTCCGCAAAACGCCACGCATTCAATCGCTCTGCGCTGCGCGCCAACGCTGCAACCAGTCCCAGCGCTAGCGCTTCCCCCACTGCTCCCTGCAAACTTCTTCGGATCCTTCTTGTTGCTCTTGCCCTTCCCATTTCCGAAATGTTCCGAAACGTTCCAATTTCCGCCCAGAAAGCAATTTTCCCTCATGCTGCTGGTCTTCGACGCGCCGAACTGGGCGAGATTTGCCTGAGCGAAACCGCCCTCAAGAGTCGACGGGCAGAAATCCGAAGACTGCGCGGTGTAGCTAACTGGCAGGTTGTAGAAATAGTTTCCGCTCAGGTCGTAAGTTGCCTGAGCGGTGTTTGCGAGCGAAGCAGAGGTGAAGGTTGAAAGTGGAGTTCCACTGAACTGGTTGTTGCTAACGTCACTGTCGGAAGCAAAACAAAAGAACGGAGAAGCAGTTAAGCCAAGGGGTAAGAACAGAAGCGACGGCGCGATATTAAATTGGAATGAGAAGCTGGAGATAGGAAGCATTAAAGTAGAAGATCCGAGCGCGAAAAAACAAATCAGCTGTGACGCACCGCGTAGCCCGCTTAGTACACCTAAGATTCGTGAAGAACGGCTAAGACCGACAAGATTGAAGAGCAAGACGTACAGGAAGACGAGGCCGGAAAAGGTTCCGAAAGCGGCGGGGAGGCTCCCATAAAACTGATTTCGGCTAATGTCCCTGTCATGCAAAGACGATATTTGCAAGTGGCAGATTGAAATATGTAAAAAAGTGGCTTTATTAAGACAGCGAAATCAGGTCAACGGACAGAATCTCGAGAGCATCAGAATTACGACACTAAGAATCAGTGCAACGGAAAGAAAAAGGAAAAGAAAAAAATAAAGAAAGAAAGAAAGAAAGAAAGAAAGAAAAGAAAAAAAAAAAAAACAGTTCCTTACAGTGCGACGAGAGACTGCAGGCCGACGATACTCTCAGGGAAAAATCCGGAAAACTTATTGCCTCCCAGAAGCCTGAGTAGAAGTCATTGTTAAACAGAAAGCGAAAAAGGAACCAGAACTGAGCAGGATGATCATGCCTGTGAATGGAATTTGAAGCTCCTAACAGCTGTAGAAAACAACTTTAAAGACAACAAGATGAACGACTGAGAGATAGAGAGTATCAAATAAGTGTGTATTACAGTGACTGGAGTTGGGAAAGGCCGAGGAGAGACGGTGGCAAGACTCCAGTGAAGCCATTAGATCCGAGGGCTCTGCATCGGAAAAACAATCGAGCAAGTAATTGTAGCGAGCCTTGTCAGCACCAGAAGAAATGAGCCAAAAAAGTAAGAAGCATGAACCGTTGACAAAAAGGAATCTCATAAACAGCAGACGGAACCAAAACAGCCCGACAATAATCGGATCCGCAAAGGACGACGTACAGAGTGGTGAGAGCAGTGAGCCCACTGAAGACGTTGGGTATCGCTCCGGTCAGGCTGTTTGAACTTACATCCCTGAACGGAACAAGAAGAGAATTTGTTACGACAAATACTAGGTTGGTAGAACGAAATATTGGCTGCACGAGGCTAGTTGTGAGCTAGATGAGTATTGACGACGCAGGTAAATGTGACGGCATTCTTACAATATCCGCAGGTTGACCAGAGTGGCTATGCTGCTTGGGAGTTCACCAGTCAAGGCGTTTCCGCTAAGCGACCTGACGGATGAGAGAACAGAAAAAAGCTTAGCTAAAGCCGACATCAGATGCACACAGACCCGGTGCACGCCATGGGAGAAACCAGGCGCATGGCAAGAATGATGCGTGCGAGACGATGGAACTGAAGCAGGAAATGTATGGATAAGGCGAGGAAGCTGGAGAAGAGGGGCTGGAGCAGGAATCCAGGGAAGATGAGGGAACGGCCACGTAGTCGCAGTGAAAGGTAGAAAATGAAGGAATCTGATGCTTACAGATTCGTCAGCGCGGTCAAGAATCCGATGTCAGCAGGAATGTTGCCAACAATCAGGGCGTGATCCAGGGACCTGCGCCACGTCAGCGGTTAAGATAATATGGGAAACTGAGGAGCGGACCAAGGCAGCGTGATCAGAGAAAAAGGAAAAGAACGCGGGACGGGCCGTGAGGACAAAACAGAAGAGAGAGAGAGAGAGAGAGAGAGAGAGAGAGAGAGAGAGAGAGAGAGAGAGAGAGAGAGAGAGAGAGAGAGAGAGAGAGAGAGAGGGAGAGAGAGAGAGAGAGAGAGAGAGAGAGAGAGAGAGAGAGAGAGAGAGAGAGAGAGAGAGAGAGAGAAACAAAACAGAAAAAATCCGGAAATTCCCCTCGCCCCTGTTTCACCACCTCCCTCCCTCCGTTTTCCCTTCCCTGCCCGTTTCCCCTTTCCCGCGCCTGCCCCCATCTCCCGCTCAGCCCATTCGAACATAAGCAGGCGCATTTTGCTCCCTTTCGAATCGCGCATACAATTTCTGAAGAGCGGAAAGCTGAGTAACCGCGGCTGGAATCGAAGCTCCGCGGAGCTCAGTTCGTCCCGGAAACTCTCTGGAAGGAACAAAAAAACATTCACATAACGCAGATGGTTGAGGAGAATCGGGACGGAGAAATATGGTGTAAAAATACGGGCTACGGAGTGGAGAAAATAAAGGGAGTCGTAGAATACGACGAGACAACGTACAGAGAAATGACCTCGCCAAGCGCGTTACAAGTGAGCCCGAGCCATTGCGAACAGTCTGATGCGACGAACCACGTTTGGCTTAGCTGCAGGGCCGGACCCCATGCGTTCAAGATAGCTTGAAGAGCAGGTTCTGCAAGCACACACATCAATGCATTTGCGGAATAGTCTTATCCGAAGCGTAATGCTTAGCCATGGGATTCTAGACACAAACGCCGTCGTGAGGCTCAGAAGCGAACGGTGTCAACATGCTTACTCTGGGAGTCTGCGACTGCCTGTGCTTTGACGGGAGGCGAGAACACCACGAGGAAGATAAGCGCGAGAACCAAAGCCTTAAATACGTCGGGATGAAACGGATGTTTTCTCTGGAACAGCCTCATTGCGCTTCTACTTAGAACTCAATATGCTGGTTGCTGGATCACTTCACCCGCTTCCTGATAAAACCGAAGAGAAGGTAGAATATGTAGAAACGGCTGAAGAGCTAGGAATAGACCGACAAGGCAATTCCAGATAAAGGAACGTCTCACAGATCTGCTACAACTAATGTAGTACATAAGACAAACTCCGTATCGCTTAGTCCACAGTCCATCTATAAAATGAGCGAAGAAACTAAATGTGTGTGTTCTATCGGTTCGAACAACAAGACCTAGACTACAAGGTGACTTACCAAGGATAGCTACGAAGAAGGCACCCAACAGAAAGCTAACTTTTTAGAAACTAAGCGCCACGCCCTGATAAGCCACCGTTCTAGACTCGAGTTCATCAGCAATCAAAATCAACATTAGGGTACACACTGGAGAAAGAGGAAGGAGGAGAAGAGGGGGGGAAACCGCGTTGGTCCACTGTGACTGCTGCCTCTGGCAGGGTGCAAGGTGGATTCCCTGCCATCCAACACAAGTCGAGGCGAAGCTCGAGAGAGCAGATCAGCCCCACTGTTACATTGGACAGAAGACATGAAAGCGGAAGTGGGGAAGACAAAGGGCTTCGACGATGAAAAAACACTTTCGTGTCCAGTCGCATGATTTTCCTTCACAGAAAGACATGCAGACATCAGGGCGAAATGAAATTCCGTGGCTGGGAGTCGGAATGTGAACTGGGGCCTGATGCACACTGAAATTATGGGACGCCCCTCATGGCAACGACGGTCGCGCGGACCATTTGAGTTCAAAATGAATCACAATGAATTCCTCTGATAGTAGGCCTTCTCAAAAGGGGAAGCGTGGGAAAATGCCACTTCAGGGCAGGAATCTCCAAAATAAACATTACATCGTTTTTCCTGAGTGAAGGCGGTTGGTGCGCGGGATTTTGAATGGCAAGGGTTTGGTTGGTCACGGTTCACATCAGGTGTTTCAGGTTGTGGGAACAATGTGGAGGCTAGGGTTTGCTCGTCTCACTGCTTGGTTTGGGCTGGTCGCTTGCTCGTGCTGATAAGGACTGAATTCAGCGCAGAAGGTGGTTGTTGGTTCTAGGCAGAGGGGAACACGTTTCGGCCAATCAGCGTCCTCGAAACGAAGTCATGTTCGTGACAAACCCACAGACCCAGCACTCAGGACATTTTTCCCCACCACACCCCAACTCACACTTCCTCAAACCATGGGACATTCCGCGGATGAGCAAACAATCTAACTTCGTGTTGCCATTTGAGCAGAACTGCAACCTCGTGTCGACTCACGATCGCGATTGTGCAGTGAAACTAGTCACTGACGGTTCAGAGGAACGCACAAAGAGGGACGACTCACGGAATGGGAAGACAACGAAAATGTCTTCTAGAACAACTAGGCAAATGGGAGCGAGGGGTCACAAAAGGGGGCACGTGATGACAGAACAGACAAACTCCGCAACAAAACTTGAAGCGGGTGGAAAGTGTTGGCATGATATGCTATGTGGCACTTGTGAGGTTTGCTCTCAGAGCTCATCCACACATGTCCAGTTTTCCAAGGCCGATTCTGACACGGAAAATGGGCTGTCTTGCGGATTCCAGACAAGATCCACGGCGGCGGGCAGGCTATCAAATATTTTCCAGTTGTGGTCAACTCGCACACAACCGCCAAACATGCCTGCTGTACAGAGCGCAGGCTGTTGGGTTTGTTTGTCCATTAACCTTCATCAAACGCAAGAATACAGCGATTTCTGCTACAAACATAAATAAATAACTTCGTTAATACAAGTAGCAAAAGAGCTGCTGCTACTAAATGTAACGCATCAGCAAACAGTATGGATACACAACAAGGCTATGGTGAAAAAACATCACTCCTTCAACAATTCAAACTATCTCGACTAGGATTCCCACGTCAAGTGGAAATAGATGCTCAGTAACAATCACGAAAGCCCCATACTATCCAAATTGTAACAACTGCAACAGTAGTATTGAAGCTCACCTGATAATGCCTCTTGTTCAATATCAATCCTTTTACGGTACAATGTACGCCACTCTAAGCCCACCTCTCCCTCTCTTTCTATGTATATCCAACACCTGCTGCAACGACACATGCTTATCATCTTGCACCATCAGCAGTTGCTTCAGAGGATTATCCCATGTTCTACGCTCTAAGCCCACCTCCCCCCTCTCTTCCTATGCATATCCAACACCTGCTCCAATGACACAGGCACCCACGCATGCTTATCATATTGCGCCATCAGCAGCTGCTTCAGAGGATCTATCACCAGGCTGATCGTGCCAAACGAAAACACTGGCATGCCCTCGTGCGTGCGGCCGGGTTTCGGCAGGAATTTCACGTCGTTCTGCAGCGCAAATCGCTCCACAACCTCACGTAGAGACAGCTCCTTCTCTTCCTTCTGATGCAACATCCCTGCCCTCCCTCCTCCTGCCCCTCTCCCTCCTGTGACCGTGCTACCACCGGTTGCACCAGCACCATCCATCCCACCACCAGCCCCACCTGCTGAAATACCACCTCCCCCAGCAGCAGCACTGCCTGCACCCGATACACCTCCCCCTGCCCCTGCCCCATCGGCAAACGCCTGCTGCTCCGAAACTCTCAAGTAAGAGACGTTCTCCTTCACGCCAGGTTGCAGAACCGGCATCCCCTCTACAGCCTGATTCATCATATCCAAAGCGACGTTCAACTGCTGCCGCACCCTTTCCGAGCTTAAAAGCTCGGCGGGAAAAAGCGCCTTCCATCCGAGATACCACCGGGTGACTTCATCAAAATTAGGGTTTGCGCACAGCCAATGGTAGAGCACCTGGTGCCACTGCGGGAAGAAGGCGGTGTCCAGCAAGGCAATGAGGTGGCGCGTGGGGACCACCCCCGCCCATGACATGGCCCAATGAAACGGCTCCAGCTGCTGCTGCTGCGGATTCACTAAGAACTCAGTCTGCAGTAAGTGAATAAGCTTCGGGACAATAGATCGACTCACTAGAGTATCCCAGCTAGCTGCGTCGAACACTGATTTCCACGGCGCAAGCATTGCAAGAGCGGACGAGTCCGATGGGTGCCATGCGGTCAGGGCAGACCCGAGCCTGAAGCGTATGAGTGGGTAGAGGGTCTCGAGCTGGGAGCCTAGGTACGGCAGCCATGGGTGCAGCCACTGGTGGACAGGTACGGTTTCCAGCCTCGGGTCCCAAGCCTCCACCGTGGCTGCCAGCTTCGGGAACACCAGGTGCGCGAGGATCGTTCTCAGGAGGACAGATGGCAGCACGGGAGCACGCCACGTGTCAAGGAAGTTCAGGAGAGGCTCGGGCTCCCGAGGCTCCCAGAGATTGACCACTGCGGATCTGACAGCTGGCAGCACGAGATCCGCGACGAGGCGAGCGTATGGGTCCATCTCAGCAGGCGCCCCTCCCACCCCTCCTGCGGCTGCTCCTGGTTCAGCCACTGCATCTGCCAGTGCCACGTCAGCAAAAATCGCCCCATTGTCCTCCTCATTCTCACCTCCTCCTCCCTTTGCTCCTCCTCTTCCTCCTATGTCTCGAGCAAGCACCGAATGCCAGGAGGACAGCACAGCATGGCCGTGGGAGGGATGGGCTAGAGGGTTCCAGGTGCGGAAAAGCGGAGCAAGACGGGGAAGCACAAACCCTAACGCCACCGCCGAGACATTATACATCTTGAACTCCTCGGGGTGCTGCTCCCTCAGCCTTCGCAGCGCAACCAATGGCGTCGCGACAGATGTCGCAATCGCGTGCGAGTCCTGCGCGAGGGCTTCCGCCGACGCCGTCGACGGCGGCGGCAGCGGCGGAGGGGCAGACGACAAAACATTCTCCAACACGCCGACGATTCTCTGGAGGTCTGTTAGCTGCTGCGCCTGCTGCTGCTTGCGCTGCTGCGTGCGGTCGCGCTCCTGCTTGAGAGCAGTGAGCGAGTCTCGTTGGAAGCGGAGGCGCTTGTCGATGGTTTGAATGTCTGCTTCTGCCAGGTCTACGACGAGTCGCAGGTTGTGCTGCAGCTCGGGCATGGGCGTGTCGTCCTCTTGTAGCTTCTGCTCCTCGTTTAGACGGTCTAGATTGGTCAACACACGGACCTGGGGAGACAGGGAACCGGAAAAACAAATAAGGAGGGAAAGAGAGGTCAGTCCCGTTGGAGGAGACCGCGCTTAAGAGCAGTGAGCGAGTCTCGTTGGAAGCGAAGGCGTTTGTTGATGGTTTGAAGGTCTGCTTCTGCTAGATCCACCGAGAGTGAGTGCGTCTCATAGGGCAAGCTCTTCCTTGAGAGCGGTGAGTGAGTCTCGTTGGAAGCGAAGGGGCTTGTCGATGGTTGGAGGAGACCTTTGGAGGAGACCGCGCTTGAGAGCGGTTTGAATGTTTGCTTCTGCTAGATCTACCACTAGTTGCAGGTTGTGCTGCAGCTCCAGCAGCTCCCCCAGCATTTGTGGAAGAGCGATGAATTTGATTTGATTTGACCAGGTAAGGCAAGGGTGGTGCAAAGAGGCAACAGGTGGCGTTATCGTTTCACCTTGACCTTTCAATCAGATGGTCCTGGCCAGTCAAACAGCCTGCAAGACAGCCAGCGAGCAAGCAAGCCAATTTGCTACCACCAGCAACGCACCTGTGCTCCACGCATGTCGAGAATCGTCTGAGTCACCTCCCTCCCCTCCCAGTTGACTTTTGAGTCGACTCAAAAGTCAGCTCCGCAGCAGTCTTATACTCGTTCCTACTCCCAGTTGACTTTTGAGTCGACTCAAAAGTCAGCTCCGCAGCAGTCTTATACTCCTTCCTCCTCCCAGTTGACTTTTGAGTCGACTCAAAAGTCAGCTCCGCAGCAGTCTTATACTCCTTCCTCCTCCCAGTTGACTTTTGAGTCGACTCAAAAGTCAGCTCCGCAGCAGTCTTATACTCCTTCCTCCTCCCAGTTGACTTTTGAGTCGACTCAAAAGTCAGCTCCGCAGCAGTCTTATACTCCTTCCTCCTCCCAGTTGACTTTTGAGTCGACTCAAAAGTCAGCTCCGCAGCAGTCTTATACTCCTTCCTCCTCCCAGTTGACTTTTGAGTCGACTCAAAAGTCAGCTCCGCAGCAGTCTTATACTCGTTCCTACTCCCAGTTGACTTTTGAGTCGACTCAAAAGTCAGCTCCGCAGCAGTCTTATACTCCTTCCTCCTCCCAGCAAAACCTCTTCTTCCATAGCGTCACACAGCACAAGAACACAGCAACACAGCAAAAGAACGATTTTTGAGTCGACTCAAAATCGACAGCAAAAGAACCCACCTGCGCTCCGCGCATGTCCAGGATCGTCTGGGTCACCTCCTTCCCCTCCGCCTGCTTCTCTTCCAGCAGCTCCGCAGCAGTCTTATACTCCTTCCTTCTCCCAGCGAATTTCTTCTTCCATAGCTTCTCCCTCCCCCTCTTTTCCACTACCTCCAACGCCACTCCCCCTTCTCCTTCCCCTCCCACCACCTCCCCGTCTTTCCCGGATGGCGGGGGTGGTAACCCGGTTTCTTTCTCCTTGAAGTCGTTAAAGCCCATGCCCATGTTCTTCGGCCGGAGCTTCGCTTCTATCGGTTTCGCTATACCCTGCTGGTTTTTACCCAGCCCGCCTCCCTTGTACCCCATCTTCTCTAAAAGCTTCATCCCTATTCCTTTAGTGTGCTTCTCAAACGCTCCCACACCGTGAGCAGCACCCTTCCCTCCCCCTCCTCCACCGCCAGAGCCAAACAGACCGCCTGCAACCCCTTTATTCGCCTTCTGCTGCGCGAAAAACGACGCCTCCTGCTTCTCCTGCTTCGCTCGCTCCCTCTCCATCTCCCTCCTCTGTTCCGCTCGCTCCCTCAGCCGCTGACCAAAAGCAGTCTTCGCTAAGTGATCCTCTTCCTCCTCCTCCTCCTCCCCTTGCGCCTCCCCCCTGGCTCCCAAACCTGGCCTTTCAGGTTCGGAACCCCCGGACGTGAATCCCAAGCCTGCTCCACCGAACCCGAGGCCCGTCCGACCCAATCCGCTCCGATCCTCATCCTCCGCCGGCTCCTGCGGCTTGGCTCCCAATCCGGGCCTTTCCTCTACAGCATCCCGATCCAGGTTCGGATTCACTGTACCTTTCGATACGAAATTAACGGGTTTCGTGAAATCGCCTTTTCCTATCAGATCGTCTTTTCCGCGACGCTTCTTCCTCCGTCTCTTCCCCCCACCGCCGAATCCCTCGTCGTCGTCGTCATCCTCGTCATCAGATGCTTCGTTAAAGACACCGTAAAGGACGTCATCGCGGGTCTGCTGACGGCCCTGACGCCGCGCCGAGGAGAAAAACTCTCCGTTAATGAACTGGCCGTCGTCGAAATCTCCGTCCAGACTGAACCGCATCCGCTGCTCTCCGTCACCGTCAACGTCCATTATCGAAAACTCTAGAACAAGAGCGCCTAAAGACCGCAATAGATACCTTTGATTCGATAAGCTCCGAACAGCTTAACAAATTTTCTTTTACAGCAAAGCAGCAGCAACGGACTCCTGGCTACGTAGGGAATCCGCACATACGGAATGCTGATCTCCTTTGCCATGGCAGTCGCGCAGACGATACAAGCTGACAAAAACTTCACCTGCTAGCGGTTCCGTAAGGTTCTAGACGTTCTACGACGGTTGAAAACACTTTCAAACATTTCGAGGTTTCTAGGCTTGTTGTCCTCGTTGCAGTGGTTTCAGCGCTTCTGAATACGGCAAAGCGTAGCGTTGTAGTGGTGGAGAGAACATCATGATGGTACATTACATGGTGTTTGGCAAAGTATTTGAGTTTGAACTAGTGGGTACAACTTGAGTGAATGAACGGGCATACCAGCTTGAACAAAGGTAATGCATATTTGACGAGCAATGCAGATACATCAAGAAATGTTAGCCCTTCCTCACCAAGCCTAACCTACATTCATCGCATTGGAATATAATAATTTCCTCTCCTCACCCCCACACCCCTCTCCTGCCATACCTACATACTAGGACTTTTCTCCCTACCCTCCTCCTTAGGAACAGCACTTCTCTCTTCCTCCTAGTTCTCTTGGTCTTCCTCATCCTCCTCATCATCCTCACCTTGGTTACCCTCTCTTTGGTTATCATCTTCATACGCCTCACCCTCTCTTTGGTTATCATCTTCATATGCCTCACCCTCTTTATACCCTTCATTCTCTGCTCCATCCTCGCCATCCCCTTCCTCATCATTCACTTTTTCTCCATAAGCTCCTAATTGACCATCTTCCTCTCCATCCTCCTCCCCATCCTCCTCCCTCCCTATCCTCCTCTCCATCCTCCTCCCCATCCTCCTCCCCATCCTCCTCCCCATCCTCCTCCCCATCCACCTCTCCATCCTCCTCCCCATCCTCCTCCCCATCCTCCTCCCCATCCTCCTCCCCATCCTCCTCTCCATCCTCCTCCCCATCCTCCTCCCCATCCTCCTCCCCATCCTCCTCCCCATCCTCCTCTCCATCCTCCTCCCCATCCTCCTCCCCATCCTCCTCTCCATCCTCCTCTCCATCCTCCTCTTCATCTTCCTCGTCCTCATCATCCTCCCCCATAAAAGCTTCCTCCTCTTCGTCGTCCTCTTCATCCTCACTACTCTCCATCCCCTCCATCAAATCTAAGCACGCCTCATACTCTCCATTTTCCTCCTCGTCCGTCCACTCATCCTCCTCATCCTCTTCCTCATCCTCCCCATCCGCCCCACCATCCCCCTCCTCCCTCTTATTGACAGCCCCCCCTATGCAGATTCTTTTGGCAATTTTCCTCGAAATCAGAGGGCTTGCGCGAATCGAACACTTGCGCAGCCTCGGCATTTCCCGGGAAGATCCCGGCTTCCAAACCAGCTTCTCACAGTAGCTCACATCCAACTTCTTCAGCTGGGGCAGCTGCAGAAAAGTTCCGGGCAGCTTGGAAAGGTTAAACAGCCCCAAAAGCACCAAGGTCTGGAGAGAGGATAGCCTGTGGATGTCTTTCGGCATAGACGGAAATCCCACATTAGCAAAAACACAATGCTGCAGCTTTGACAGGCTGGAAAACGACGCTGGAAGCTTGACCAGCTTGGGATACCTAATGATTTTCAACGTCTCCAGCTGCCCCAGCTGCCCGAGCGACTCGGGCAGGGCAGTCAAATCATTGATCTCCACCAATTCGAGGACTTGCAAGCGAAAAAGCGATCCAATGTTTTTTGGCAGCGCTTTCAGCCTCCTGCAGCGGAAGATCCGGAGCACTTGCAGATTCGGAAGGCTGGAGAAGGAGTTGGGGAGTGAGACCAGCATTTCCATAAACAGAACTTCCAGGCTTGTCAGCGATGGCAGACGGTTGAGGGATGGACCAAAGGACAGGAAGGAAAGGTCTTTAACGCTCAAGCTTTGAATGGATGGAAGCACCACTCTGCTGACGTTCCTGCTCAGATTGTTGCTGCTGCTGGTGCTCGTAGCTGCTGCTGCGGCTGCTGCTGCTGCTGCGGTAGTCCAAGGTCCTGCTAGCCGCCGTTTCATCCCCTAGTAGAGTGGGGGCTTTGAAGCACATCCGCACCTCCAGCACCCGCAACTGTGGCAGCTCAACCAGCGATTGCGGGATGCAATCCAAGCGGTACAGCTTCGAGAGCCTGAGCTCCTGAAGTGCTCCCAGCCGTCCGATGTCCGCAGGTAGCGATTCTACCTCCGGGCAGTTCATCAACACCAGGCTGGTGAGAGAGATAAGGCCGGAGACAGAGCCAGGAAGGCCAGACAGTCGACGCATGTCACGGAGGGACAACTGCTTCAGTTTCCCCAAGCTGCCCAGCCCCTCTGGCAATTTGCCTCTCAACCGCGTTGCTTGTTGGATGCTCAGTAATTCGAGGGAGGAAAGGCTGGAGATGGAAGGAGGGAGACGGGTGAGGGCTCGGCAGTCAAGCAGCTCTAACCTGCGCAGATTCAGCAGCCCATTCCCCATGTTGTTTGGTAGTGTAGTGAGTCGCCAGCAATCCAGCAGAAGCAGGTCCTCAAGAGATAATAACGAGGATAAGGATTCGGGCAGCTGCAGCAGTTGATGGCACTCCATGATTCTTAAATCTTGGAGATTTGTCAGCTGCCCGAAGGACTCGGGCAGGCGGGTGAGCTGTCGAAGGTCAATCAGGTGGAGAGACTTTAGAGCGGCCAGCTGCCCGAATTCCTCGGGCAGAGAAGTCAGATTTCGGAGACTCTTAAGAGAAAGCTTTTCAAGCGAAGAGGACATAGTGATGGAAGTAGGCAGGCTTCTAACATTCACAGCAGCCAACGAGAAAGTCTGAAGCTCCGAGAACCTCCAGATTTCAGCAGGAAGCGCGGAAAGCTCGGGAAGGAGTAGATATAGGTCCGTGAGGGAAGGCAGGCGGAGGAGACAACGGGGCAGAGTTGAAATGCCGAAACAGTTCTTCATCGTAACCCGCTTCAACCGCTGCAGCTGCCCGAGAGACTGGGGCAGGCTGGGCGTTTTTTCAACATCCTCCAGGCGAGGCAGCTGATAGAAGGAGGAATGGCAGCGAGCTGATCCGGACAGTGCAGATGAAGAACCTCCAAACGAGTGCAGCTCGCGAAAAGGCGGGAAAGTCCGTGCTCGGTGAAAACTCCGCTGGTGTCAGATCGACCGAATGAGTCTGGCATGTAGAAAGCGACGTGAAATTCGGTAAGATCGCGACACGTGTCGGCGAGGCAGCAGAGGAGGCCATCGGAGACGGCTCTCAGGGAGCCAGCGGGGAGAACGAGCCTTTTGAGATTAGCGAACCGCGCAAGCTGTGTAAGTAGCTGATGAGGGTCCGCGAAGCGGTCCGCGTTCAAGCAGACTGTGTCTTGTACGCGACACGCGATGTCGTGCCATTGCTGGCAGACGCTAGCGTGACTCAACTGGCCGTCGGGTCGAGTGAGCAGAGTGAAAATTTTCGAGAGCAAGTCCTCGGAAAGCCGTTGGACTGGCGATCCAACCGGCATTTTGAGTAGCAGGAGATGGAAGGACTAGCTGGCTCTTACTAGGTCTGGTTTCTGTTAGGCCTGGCTCTCACTAAAGAGGAGAGACACAGACTGTTAGCATCAGTGTCCGCTAAACATTGACAAGAGAAACATCCACTTGGCCTGTTAGGAGAAGCCTACGATCCCAAGAACCTTCAGGTACAGACTATCCAGGGAGAGCTATGTGACCAGGAAGGATGTGTGTTTATGCAATGGTCGAACTTTTGCATCGAACCCCAAGCCGGCGCGAGCATTTGCACGAAGAGGTGGAATTTGAACAGCAGCTGCTTTCAAACGCTTTCAATTGCAGTGAGTGCTACTGAACCGTACTGGACCGTGTTGAATCGTGTTGGCGTCTCGTTTGAATCGTGTTGGCGTCAAATCTTGAGAGGCCGTCGTGCGAGTCGCGACCATCCATCGCTGAGTCACGTTGCAGGAATGTCCAGGTAACGAGATGTGTTCAATGTGAACGACAGTCGCCAGCTTCGCTTCATCTCGTAGACGTGGTATTCCCGCTCCGCCATGGCTCGCACTGCACCTGAGCGTGCGTTTGACGAACATTCAGATGGGATTGCAGGCAATTTTGAAAACACGAATGCCATCGGTAACATCGCTTTCGCGAAGGCTCCAGAAGTTGGTGGTCGTGGCTCGTGTCATCTCTGTTATCGCTCCAGAACAACCACTGACTGGGAGTGTCGTGTTGAGCTTTCGTGACGTGACCGACCTCGGCCTCGTCATCCAATAGAAATCCGCGTTCCTTGTTTGGCTGTCGTGGACTCGACACCCGATGAAACGATCCCAACCATTTCGCTGGCCTCGTCTAAAACGGTTTTGTGAGTTAACTCGCATTTCATAGCGGTTCAAACGGCTAACAAAAGACCCTCTGACGAAAATGCCGAACAGCCTTGGTTTGGAAGAAACCACACTTGGCTGGAACATTCCCCGGGTGGAAATGAAGCCAAGGGGTGGTTGTTCCTTCCGAAGGCGGAAGACAGTCAGCTGCTGCTGTTTCTGTGCTCCATAGATTCTTGGACAAGGCAGCTTACAAGGACGAGGATAAAACTAGACAACTGTTAGCTCAGACAGTCTGGTTTAGTTTGAGAAGCTCTCCGTAGCAGCTTCTGCTGGTTGTGCGCAGTCAGGAAGGTGTTACTGCAATTGTCCTTGTGTGACTGAAGCTAGAAAGTTGACAGCCGTGATTAGGAAGTTTATTTCATTTCAAAGCGTTTTTTTCGGATTCTGTTGTCGCGTAACATACACACATAGTCGTCATGGTCCGAAGTGGGGGCTCGTTCGGCGATATCGAGTCGGGATCTGGCGGGACCATGAGGTCCACAGCGTATGCGTCGGAGCAGAGCAACGAGGAAGCGTTGAGTCAACTGGAGGAGAGGGCTAGACTAATCAAGGAGGTAGGAGAAAAAAGCGGCAGACGTTGGACATTCACATGGTTAAAGTGGAGTTGGTGAAAGGAGATAAATGGAAAGGGTGAAAACGATAGGGCTGTTAGATTGCTTTACTGGGAACGATTTGGGACCTGCATATGGTTACACTGTGACGTACGTCTTGATGGGATTAGGTTTGCGCTGGGAGACGGAAGGCTTGCCGACTTTATTTTGGAGTTGAGAGAGAAATTTGGTTAGATGTTTGAGTTACAACGATGTGAGAAACTATTGCCAAAAGCGAGAGAAAGGAGAGGCGTCTTTCACCCTTTCTTATGTTCCCTACCCAAAAATCTGCTTCCGTCTGTTTTCAACCGCGTGTCCTTGTGCCAGTTAACCAAAGACATCCATGGCGAGGTTCAATCACAAAATCGTTTCCTGGATGGCATGGTAAGTAATTAAAAGTGTTAGGTCACAACTGTTGACGCATGCCCGCTGTACTTTCTTTGGAGGCTTGATATCGGTTTAAGCGGTCTATTTTGGAAACCAATTCCACTGGTCTGCGTTTTTTCAGGGACTGGAAATGGACTCTGCTAGAAGAATGCTTGCTGGGACAGTGGATCGCTTTACAAAAGTAAGTTGGTTCACCTCTTCCCCTTCTCTGCACCTTCTTCATCTGATAGCTTCTTTCACATCCCTTCCTATTCTGCATTCCAGCTTTCCTTTATTTTTTGTTTCCTAGCATTACAGCTACGCCTCCGTTTGCTGGCACCTCAGCTGCCCTCGTTTGACACTCTTCTAATTTGCAGGTGTTCAGTTCTAAGCAGAATCGGGGCTTGGCAGCTGTAGTTGTGTCGTGTGTAACACTTTTTTTCATCCTATACTTCTTTACAAAGCAATAAGGAAACAATGCCAGTTACCGTATACGGTACTTCTGTTGTGTCATGCGTTCAATTGCGTTTTCATAGGTTATTGTTGGTTGCTATCATTGTATTGCATAACATAATGAAATAAAACTGTACAAGGTAAAAGCTTCAAGTATGCAGTGTTAATTTTAATTCTAGCCACAGGTGACGTTTGGGTGGTTTTTTCTGCTTTCGTGTTTTACGAAGCTATACTCCTTGCGAATATGCCGAAAGCGTACTGGACCACAAGGAACCCACTCCCATTTTCCATGGTACCCTTCCCTGCCAACCTGAAAGGCACTCAGAATGGCTCATGAGGTGGTTAGCGCTTCATAACGGTAATTAAACAAAATCAAACATTTGGGTATGGTTTTGAGCGATCGAGAACTTCCAAAACACATTCCCGCTCACCAACCTGATCCCAAAAAGCCTGATCAGAAAAGCAAGCACATTCTAGACCTAGATATGTCCTGCATTCTGGTTCTGCAGTGGAGTTACCACCGCGTTCTAGTCACAGATTCCATCTCCAACTTCATCGAGCGCTCTTGAATCGCAGTGCTATTTAGCGATTCTACGGGATTTTGTTTCCGGTGGTCGCCGCGTAAGACGTCGTGCCCTGGTGTCGGCCCCGCATTTGAAGCTGTGTTCTCATTGACACCAACTCGTTTTTCCTGCTCGATCGAGCTTGCCACCATGGTTGCACCCTTGAAACGCTTCCTTGGTTTTCTTCTAGCTGCCGTGATCGCCGTTGCGTGCTGCCAGCGGGGCTGTCTGGCGGTCAAATTTGAGGTCACGGCCTACTCGAAATGTTTAGGGGAGGAGATTCAGGAGGGAACCCTCGTTGTAGGAACATATTCTATCGTAAAGCACGACTCTCATGGGAACCGGCTGGACGAAACCGGCAGGGTCACAGCCAAGGTATGTCTCGGCTAGTTGGGTTGGTAGAATTATGCCTTTTACGACTGTTCGCAAGGCCTCCGGTTGGATTTATACTACCCGCTTTCAATGCCGAAGGTCGGATCGCAGATCGCGTCGTTCAACGCGGTCTTTCTTCTTGTTTTTTGTTTGGTACGCATGGTTCAAGTTATGCTTTTATAACCCAACTTGTACGTGTTGCTTTTATAACTCCCAGTATCTTGAATATGGCTCTTTTATTCCCCCATTGCCAGAATCCGCTGTCTTTCGTGCCACTGCCTTTCCTCTTTCATAGCCATTGCTTCATTGAAGTTCCTTATCTCCTCATGCATCGCATGTGTCTCCTCCTCGACATTTGATCGGAAAAGCAGTCCATTCGTCACGATCCCAGCATTCCAGTTTCTATAGGCATGTATTTTTCAAGCTGCTAACCTTGCGTGATGACATGGCAAGTGACGTCATTGTACAGCCATCACATGCATTGGCACGACATTGTGGAAGATGGGCACTACGACAAAATCTGGACCTATTTATATCAAAACATTTTCACCTCCGCCTTGCATAACCGCACGGCAGGTGACGTCACCGTACGGGCATCAGCTGCACTGGCAGGACAGTGTTGAAGAGGGGCATTTCGGATTCACAACCAAGGAGACGGGCCAGTACATGGCGTGCTTCTGGCTACCCGTGGACCATCCGCAAGAAATCCACAGCGTCATGGTGAGTTTGAAATGCTTACTTGTTCGATGTTTTCTGAGACGTCTCAACACCTGGGTTTGCAACCAAGGGGACGGGCCAGTACATGTCGTGCTTCTGGCTACCCGTGGACCATTCGCAAGAGATCCACAGCGTCATGGCGAGGAAACCAGTTGGTAAAGACTGGGAAGGGGTTAAGACTAAGGAATGAAGTTGAACGGTTGACTTGTGTGCACACCACCTGGCCCTGTCTACCAGGACATTGGTACCACCAACAAACACATTCACTTGGCTTCACACATCTTGCACAACAGTTCCTTGTATTCCTTTGCAAATCACCTTACACATCTTGCACAATAGTTCCTTGCATTCCTTGCAAATCACCTTGTTGCACGCTACCCACACTTCCCATCACTGCATTTGCCTCAAACACTCAATTCCACGTGCATCCTGCTCCAACGGTCTGGGTGGCGATATTTCAGGTCGAGCTTGAATGGAAGATTGGCGTAGCAGCCAAGGACTGGGGCAAAATCGCCAAGAAGGACAAACTTGATGTGAGCCATTGACGTTTTTGAAAGAATTTGTTGTTTTTTTTTGTCCCACGTGCATCACATTTGAGCGCTTGCACACATGGGCAGATGTTTTTTACGATGAACCTGGTCAAATTTGAAAACGGCTATGGCTGTGAGGGAGATGGGATAGTCTCGACTCTTTACCTGTATGCTTAGGATGTTTTGTGTGCTGGGTTTTCTTTGGCTGGGGTCTCACGTGCATCGTTGGTCTGTGCTGCTCCCAACCGTTCTAAACCGTTCAGTGTGATGTTATAGCCTGGTTGCAAGTTCTCACCTTGGTATTGTCCTCACCTCCCCCCCACCCATCACCGCCTACAACGTGTGCTGGAAGGGCATCGCTCTGGAGCTGCGCAAGCTGGATGAGGCAGTGAGATCCATCCGAGGGGAGATGGCCTACTTCCGCAAGAGGTGAGTGAATTATGTTAAAAAGGAAACAGTAGCTTTTTCTCCTCTGCATAACTGAGAGATCAATTACATCGCCAGATGATGGGGATTGGGAAAGGTTTATATTGGGTCAGTTGAGAGGAGGTGGTTGTTTATTGGATAATTTGGGACGACAAAGGGGAACTTGTGAGTGTACTGGTGATTTTATGGGGTTTCCATGAAGGAGTGTGGGTTTTCACAATTGCAGTAGCAGACCATGAAGCTACGTTTTCTTCCCAGCATCTCATCTCTTTCTGTCTGCCTTGTCCTGCTTGAAACCCTCTGTTCCTCCCACCAGAGAGGCAGACATGCGTGATTTGAACGAGGTGACTAACTCAAGGGTGGCTTGGCTGAGCATCGTGTCGCTGCTGGTGTGTGTGAGCCTAGCTGCCCTGCAGCTCTGGCACCTCAAGGCCTTTTTTGAGCGCAAGAAGCTGCTGTAACGCAGCCACAGATGGTTTAGGGAATATGCTTACCTATTAAATTCGCCAATTAGGGTACTGAGTTGATAGGTTAGAAGCAGGATACTGCACACAAAATGGGACCTTGCCTTGTATTCTAGCTTCACACTTGGGGCCTGGCTTCACATCACTGCACCAGACCTCTACTAGTCAATATTGGCAAACAACATCCTGATTCACTTCCCTGCCCCACTCAGGTAATCAAACCCTAAGCCTGTGCTGCTCTAGCAACACTGCACCACACTACAAAGACGTGGTGGTGCTAGAAAGGAGGCCTTTCAGTTTGGCTACTCTGATTTATTTACCGCCAATCCTCTTCCCTTTTTTCTTCCGTTTTCCCTCTTCCTCTTCCTCCTCTCCATTCTCTTCTCCATCCCAGAGCGCTGCATCCCCCTCCCCCTCCCCATTCCCAGCTCCTCCTTCATACTTCTCAATGTACTCGTTTAAGCAAGCTCCAATACGAGCTTTAAGAAGACCAATCGTGTCTGAAAGGCGAACCTTAGCTTCTTGTACTTTCTCCTCCCCTATCGCCATATCTGTCGCCGGTCCTGCTGCGTCTGATTGAGCTGCAACCGAGGTGCTTTGAACATCTGCGGAGGTTACACTTTTTTTTGGGTTGCGAAGCAACCTATTACAATCGTTATGTTCAATTTTTTTTTCATCCTCTTTACTTAAAAAAAAAAGGATAAGGTAACTAAGTGACTGACTGCCATGTCTTTGCCATGGCAATTTAGTATGCGCCGTACCACATTTCTTCTCATTTCTTGGTTCGCCTTGACCGAACTGTCAAATGTTGTAGCCTATAGTGAGGTTTGTCTTAGGGGGTACAAAACTTAGGGTTAGCTATATGTACCCCAACCAACATCAATGCATCATCCATTCTTCATTTTGACATGGTATCAGTTAGGTTAGGATCCTGTGGGATCCCGTTCCGCCGTTCTCCGTTCGTACCACCCGAGCCTGATCCTAGCTCTCGTTCGTCTCCTTCTCGTTGTTACCGAGCCTAGCGCCGAGCCACGCTCTCGTTCGTAGCGTAGCCCGCCCCCCCCCCCCCCCTTCGCGTCGCCTTCCCCCCCCCCCCTCGAGTCGCGCCCGTCCCTTTCCCCCTGTCGCGTCGCGCTCCCCCCGTCGCGTCGCGTCCGCGCCTTCCCCCCGTCGTGTCGCCTTCCCCCTGTCCCGTCGCGCCCCCCCCCCCTTTCCCCCCGTCGTGTCGCCTTCCCCCTGTCCCGTCGCACCCGCCCCCTTTTCCCCCGTCACGTCGCCTTCCCCCTGCCCGTCGCACCCGCCCCTTTCCCCCCGTCACGTCGCCCTCCCCCTGTCCCGTCGCACCCGCCCCTTTCCCCCCGTAACGTCGCCTTCCCCCTGTCCCGTCGCACCCGCCCCTTTCCCCCCGTCACGTCGCCCTCCCCCTGTCCCGTCGCTCCTGCCCTCTCCCCCCGTCGAGTCGCCCGTCCCGCAGCGCCCGCCGCTGTCGCTCGCGACCGCACTCGTCGCCGCCGCGCCTGCAGCCGTCGCTCGCCCCCTGCGCGCCTCGCTGCGGCCCCGCCGTCGTCGCCCGCCGCTGCGCCCCCTGCCGTCGCCCGCTGCGCGCGCTGCTGGCCCCTGCTGCCGTACGCGCTGCCATCGCCCGCCGCTGCGCCCGCTCTCGTTCTCCGCTGCTTAGTCCCCTGTTACCTCCCGCTGTCACGCCCGCTGTGGCGTCCGCTCCTCCCCTGTCCCAGAGTACCGCCGAACCCTAATTTGCCTCTCATCTACTGCTGTCCCCTCCCTCTCCGTTCGCGTTCGTTTTCGCTATGGCGACTCAGCGTGTCCTTCGTTTCGACGCTGACGGTAGACCTCTTGATTTTTCCGTCTGGCTTCTTCGTGCTCGCCGTCTGTTAGAGAGTCAGGTCCAGGCAGGCGAGTCCCTCTGGGCGCACGCTACTGGTGCCCTACCTGCGCCCCCCGACCCTACGCCTTTAGGACCTGCCCCTGACGACGCCGCTAGAGCCCGCTTTGCCACTCAGCGAGCTGACCAGACGGCTTGGACGTCACGTGACGCTGCGGCCTGCATCGCGCTCAGCAGCCTCCTCCCTGAGTCTGAGGAGGTTCACTTCACTCAGGTTCGCACCGCTGCTGCGTACCTCACTGCGATTAAGGCCCGCTACTCTACTCCCGCTGCTGTCTCTCTTGGCCGCCTGTTCCTCCCATTCCTGTTTCCTGACCTGGCGTCTTTTGAGCGCTCTGCTGACTTGATCGCTCACCTCCGCTCGCTCGACGCTAGTTACCGCGCTGCTTGCACTGAGGCACAGCTTGCACTGCTTCCTCCCCCTATGGCGATTACTATCTATTTCATCGCCACTAGCCTCCCTGACCGCCTTGCCTCCGTTCGCGACGCGCTTCTGCTGAAGCACCCTAGTGAGCTCACCGTCGAGGTCCTTGAGTCTGCACTCAAGGACGTCGAGAGCAACCTTCGCTCGGTAGCCGCTGCCTCTGGTGCTGTGCCCCCCCCACTCTTCCACGGGTGCACAGTCCCGCAGTTACCCACCTTTACTGCCTCACTTGCCACTGCCGCTACTGACGCGACTGCAGCTGCTGTTACGACTGCGTCGCGGTCCCGCGGTAGGAGTGGCAAGAAAGGCGGTTCTGGTGGTGGTAGTGGAGGTGGAGGCGGAGGTAGTGGAGGTGGCGTTGCGCCTGGCGGCGGTGGAGGTTCAGGGCCTGGAGAGGCGTCTCGTGCAGCGACTGGTGACTCCACTGCGCCTGCTGGTGGTGGCGACGCCCGAGTTCGTCAGTCGCCTCCTGTACTTCCTGCCCCGGTTGGTGGAGCAGCGGCGTGGTACCAGGCTCAGCGTCAGCAGCAGCTTCTGCAGCACCAGCAGCCCCTCTCCTCCCAGCAGCCTCAGCAGCAGCAGCGGCAGCAGCTGGCTCCAGGGTCGGGGCTGCGTCAGACCCAGCGCGGTGCTGCTTACACTCCCTGCACCTACCAGGTTCTGACAGGCACTCGTCGTGGCCACCCTTGTGGCCGCCTTCACCCCCCTGGTCAGTGCTTTGCTCAGCTCACTGACACGGTTCGTTTGGTCTACGGGGTTGGTGCTCCTGCCCCTGACTGGCTGCCTCTTGTTCAGCGCTACGGCTCCGCTCTGTGGGCCATGTCTGCTGAGCAGTTAGTTGATCTGATTGGTACTCCCCATGCTATGTATGCTGTTGTTGACTCTAGTGTTTCTGACTCTGCTTACTCTGGTGTTGTTAGCTTAGGTGCTAGCCTTGCTCAGTTGCCTGTTGCTAGTGTAGGTTCTTGTGTAGACTCTAGTCCAGCGGCTACCTCAGAGGACGGTTCGCTGTCGTTCACGCTGGACTCTGGAGCCTCTCACTGCTTCTTTCGTGACAGCACGACACTTACGCCTCTTCCTGCGCCTGTTTCTGTGGCGCTGGCTGATCCCACTTCGGGACCAGTCACCGCGCGTCACACTACCACCTTGCCGTGTCCGGCTGCTCCTTCTGGGTCTCTCACTGGGTTTCACGTCCCCTCGTTCTCCCGGAACTTGGTGGGCGTGCGACCCCTCGTGAGTCAGCACGTGGGTGTGTGGTTTGAGCCTTCTGGAGAGACTGCGGTGTGTGTTGACGGGGACTCTTACCAGCCCCTCGCCACTTTTGCTGCTGAGCCGGGCTCCGGTCTCTACACTCTTCACACTGGCCCGCGCGCTCAGCAGCGACTGCAGCAGCAGCAGCAGCAGCAGCCAGCAGCAGCAGCAGCAGCCGCAGCCGCAGCCACAGCCGCCCCTCCTGCCCCCGGCCCCTGTTTTGCCCCCCGTTCGAGTCCTCGCGTCTCACCAGGTTGCTCCGTCCCCCCAGGTAGCTGTGTCTTGTCAGGTTCCTCCGTCTAGTCCGGTCGCTGCGTCGTGCTCCTGTCGGTCGCTTGCCCACCCCACCGTTTTGTGGCACCACCGGCTGGGGCACCCTTCTCCTCCTCGTCTTCGCGCTATGTCTCGTCAGCGTCTTGTCTTAGGTCTCCCGCGTGTCTTGCCGTCGCTGCCGCCGTCCCTTGCACCACCGTGCGGTCCTTGCGTCGAGGGTAGGCTGCGCGCCACCCCTCACTCCTCCTCCCTTCGTCCGGCCACCGAGCCTTTTGAGACGCTGCACTTGGACGTCTGGGGCCCCTCTCCTCGCCCTGGCCCTGAGCGTGAGCGTTTCTTTTTGGTGGTCGTTGACGACTACTCCCGCTACACCACAGTGTTCCCCCTGGCGAGGAAGTCTGAGGTGACTTCTACGCTGATCAGGTGGTTGCTTACCACCCAGGACACTCGTGGTCGTCGTGTCAGCTGTCTCCACTCCGACCGCGGGGGCGAGTTTCGCTCCGGCATTCTCGCTGGATTCTGTCGCGAACAGGGCATTCGTCAGTCCTGGACGCTTCCGGAGTCCCCACAGCAGAATGGGGTTGCTGAGCGTCGCATAGGCCTGGTCATGGAGATTGCCCGCACCTCCTTGACTCACGCCCGTGCCCCCCATTTCCTGTGGCCATACGCGGTCAGGTACGCCACGCACCAGCTGAACCTCTGGCCACGCGTCTCTCGGCCGGAGGCTTCACCGACCAGTCTTTGGACAGGGTCCCCTGGTGTCGCGTCGAGGTTTCGTGTCTGGGGGTGCTTGGCTCTTGTCCGCGACACCTCCGCGGACAAGCTCTCGCCTCGCGCCGTTCCTTGTGTCTTCCTTGGTTTCCCTGAGGACTCCTCTGACTTCACCTTTTACCACCCTCCCTCTCACCGGTTCTTTGACTCCCGTGACGTCCGTTTCGAGGAGTCCACCCCCTACTACGTCAGGTACCCCAGTCGAGGTCTCCCGGTCCCTCCCCCCCCTCTCTTCCTGACCGCCGCTCCCCCGCCTGCTCCCCCGGTACAGCCTCCCCCCCCTGGTCCAGCCCCGTCTGGTGTGTCTCAGGCTAGCCCTCCCCCTTCGGTAGCCCCCCCTGTACAGCCTCCCTCCCCACAGTCTTCCTCGCCGCC